ATAGGGCCTCGCCACACCTATCCCGAAAACGCAAAAAAGTTCGGGAGCACTCCCGAACGCTGGAGATGTGAAAAAACCTTTCGAGAGGGCTCGTCGCCACACTGCGCTCTCCAAGGCGGCAGTCTCCAATTCGTCAGACGAGGCCCAAAGTTTTTTCCAGTTCGTCAGATGAGGCCCGAAATTTTTTCCAATTCGTCAGACGAGGCCCGGAATTTTTTGGAGAGCGCAGACGACGGCCATGCCACACCACTCTCGAAATGTGCAAAATGAGAATGAACTTCCCGCTAGAACATGGCCAGATGCACCCGCCACATTTTTGTCTTTTTCACATTTCGAGAGTGGTGTGGCTTTAAACGGTGGCAACAGATGGTTGTCGGCTGAGGCGCACTCTCCAGTTTGAGGAGCCTCGGACCACTCCTCAAATCCGGTGCTTTGCAGGCGGGGCGATCCACAAAGTTCGAGAGCACTCCCGAGAACTGCATTCTGACCGCTGTCCAAATTCTTTCTGACTGCGATTTTCGCCCCAAAGTTCGAGAGCACTCCCGAGAACCGCATTCTGACCGCTCTCCAAATTCTTTCTGACTGCGATTTTCGGGAGTTGGTGTGGCGATGCCACTTCTCTCCAAATCGCTGTTTTGGAGATATGTGCGGCGAGGCCCATACTCACACGGCGAACCCAAAGCTGCAAAATATGCGGATTTGGGAAGGGCCGATTTGAGGTTTTGGGTATGGTGCATGTCACACTGCTGTACCTTTTCAGATGGGACAAGGTCGCAGCCGTCTGGAGAAATGGGGATTTGGTACTTGGCTGGTCACATGGCGCCATCTACCAATTGTGCAAGAACTTTTGTGAACGAATTTTTGCCAAATTTTGAAGAAAATGCGAAAAAGAAAAAGGGAACTGGAGGTGACCGCAAAATCCCTTGCCCCGCGGCCTCCCAGGCCCCTGACAAATGGGCACTGGAATAGTACATTTGCGAATTTGGTAGATCTTTTTTTTGGGATTTTGGGATTATAGGTCCCTGTGTGAATATGCCCTGAGCCTCTGAGGGCATACTGACAAGGGGACCTAAAGTAGCAAATATTTGAGGCGTTTCGTACCGCCAATTTGCGTCTTTGGGTTCCTCTAACACCCTCACACTGCGCAACCAAAATCCTTTTCTACCACCAGTACGTTTCCCTGCTTGGAAACCAAATACGCTCCGGTGTGAAACAAACAAACGAAAAAACCCGGAAGGAAAGCAGAAGGCTGGAAGAGAGAGAGAGAGAGAGAGAGAGAGAGAGAGAGAGAGAGAGAAGAAAAAGGTGAAAAACAGTGGCAGTGTATATTTCCATGTTCTAGCAGGATATTCATTCCTATTTTGCTCATCCTATCAATGGAACTAGCCTCTCTCTATCTCTCTGCGCGCATGGCTGGAAAGCAGTGTATATTTCCATATTCTATTGGAGGATTCATTCCGATCTTGCTCATCCTACAGATGGAAGTAGCCTCTCTCT